ATAAAGGTAGGTTTGGAATGCTGTTTGGAATCACACAGACCAGCAATCAAATCCAAGTTCTACCACTTACTCACTGAGCCATGTTTCTTAATGCTTGTGGATCTCAGTGCTTTTACCTGTAAAGTGAGAGTAATAGTGCCTTCTGCTCAGACTTACGGTGAGAACTAAATAAGATAAGGTCTTTAAGATGCACAACCTGCCAGGTGTGGTGGCGGGCGCCTGTAGTCCCAGCTCCTCCGGAGGCTGAGGCAGGAGAATGGCATGAACCCTGGAGGCGGAGCTTACTTGCAGTGAGCTGAGATCGCGCCACTGCACTCCAGCCTGGGCGACAGAGTGAGACTCTGTCTCAAAAAAAAAAAAAAAAAGAAAAGAAAAGAAAAAAGAAAAAAAAAGATGCACAACCCAATGCCTGGCTCATGAGGCTTTTGATGATTATAAGGTCCTGGTGTCCTCCTCAGGGCCATGGCAGGTCACATCCTTATTGAGTCGAATACTTTTGAACCCCCCTGGATGTTTACAGGCTTCCACTCTAGGGCTTTCCAGGGCTAACTGCAACTAGCTATGGCCACACTGCTGGCTCCGTGACCTTGCCTACACTAGTCACCGTTCATAGGCCCTATCACTAGATCCTCGGAAGATGCTGCCACTCTCCCCTGAACAAGGACAGTCCTAGATTTTATTCTGTGATTTTCATTTTTTCATCCAGAGGACTTTCCCATGCCCTGAACTGCCTGTGTAAGCTGCGTATTTGGCCCCTCTCTGGTGTGTGTTATGCTCCAGTCTGGAGTTGTGGTGAAGCCAGGAGCTATTCTGAGATCTTTCCGCTATTTCAGGCTCTAGCTTAGACGTGGGGAGTGAATCCAGCACTCTCTGCCCATGTCTCAGCCACAACTTCCAAGACTGGTCCTTTTTATGTTCCTGACACCCTCAGATCCAAAATAGCCCTGACCTGGAGGTGGTGCCTGGGACCAGCTCAGATGTAGCAGGGATGTGCACGTGCCATCCAGCCTTCAGCTAGGCTAGAGAGAGTTCTGGAAGAGTTAGGTCTTGGCGGGGGGGATGGGGGGGGTGGGGGGGGGGGGGGGGGGGTGGGGAGAACTGAGCTCCAGAGAAGCAGCCAGGGTTACACCCTCACCCCACAAGCTGGCAGATATTTGGGGGCTGGGGGCCGCTCCATGTGGAACAGCAGCTGCTTCCAGTCCTGGCCAGATAAAGGAGGAGTGCATTTTCTGCCTGCCAACTTCTCAGGCTGTGTATCTCTTCCTGGGCTAGCTAACATTCATTCATTTATTCCATAGATATTACTGAGTGCCGACTATATGCCAGTCACTGTTTAGGCTCTGGGGTATAACTGTGGCCAAAACAGACAAAAATCCCTGCTTTTGTGGCGCTTACAAGTAACAAAAATCGTAATAAATAAATTGCATTGGCTGATCTAGCTTGCAAAGCACTTTTCCATGCCATTTCTTGGTAGAACATCCAATTGAATACTCTGTGCTAACACAATGTGTGTGGTTCTCCACTTGCCTGTCCTCAGTTCATCCTTCCAGCAATCCCCTGAGTTAGACACCACTCCATTTTACTGACAGGGGAACAAAGACTCCAGAAGAAGCAGTAAATTCTGTGAGGTCTACACAGCCAGGAAGTGAATCTTAACCCAAGTATGTCTGACTTGAGAGCCCAAATAAGATCTCAACCACTGTGCACAGAGAAGCTGGTGGCGCCCACTTGCAAATATAGAGGCTCAGTGAGATGCAGAGTTTGGAGAAGGCAAGTTCTTCTGTTGTTCCAAAGAATGATGAAATTTCACAGGTAGAAGGAACTTGGAGGTTGTCAAAGACAGGACTCCTTCTACCTCAGCCTGGGTGGATGAAGAACTGGACATTGCTGAAGCGCTTTTGGGCTCTAGGGCGCTTCCTGCATGTGGGGCAGTCCATACCATGGCTGGACACTGTGATGACTTGATGGTCCTTCCTGTTTGGGGAGGAACTGTCTGCTCCAACCTGTCCACCTGGCAGGCCCCTTGGGGACTCCCTTCCTTCAAACAACCCTACGCAACTTGGCTCTGATTTGCTTCTTTCTCACCCCAGTAAACAGCATACCTCAGAGAGGGTGCGGCTGCCTCCTCTGCATTCTCACAGCTTCCAGCCGCACATCTGACACAGTGCTTATCTCCCTGTGTGGGAACATCCCTGCCTCATGCCTGTCTATGCCACTGCACAGCACAGTGCTGGCACATGTGAGGTGCTCAGCCCATGGTTATTGAGTGGCTGATGAAGGAATGGATAATATCTAGCCATTTTCAGTTGCATGGAGAGACTGGGCCAGTTATTATTTGGCTGCAGCTGCTTCACAAAAGAGAAATGGTCCTCTTTCATCTTTCCTACAGTCTGGGTCATGATATTAATGTGGCCTGTGGCTTTCAACAAATATCTGTGGCTTCAGAGTCTCCTTGTTTGAAGGCATTTCTGGAGGCTTTGGCTGGCACTGTAATTCCTGAACTGACAACTGATGTGAGATGACTGGGGGCTGAAGGAAGCTGGGATGTCGTGGTGTCTTAATCATAAACTGCCCAACCACCAAAGAAATGGATCGTTTCTGGAAGGTCTAGAAGGACACACAATGGGATCCCTTAATGCCATGGAAGATGCCAGGACAATGCACATGTCCATGGCTCTGTGTGGGGTCCTTCTTCTCTGAAGCTGCTGCTGTCCCAGAAGATCAGCTTGTGGCAATCCACAGCCTGCCTGTCATTTGGATGGCCCCGCAATCAACTCTCCAGGAAGGTTCTCCCATGTTTTTCTAACTGCTTCTGTTGTTAAAAAATCTAGAGGGTCCCACAAGATTACTGTTCAAATGGCTCTCCTGGGACCCTCCCTTAGCATGGACCTTCTTGCCACAAAGGTAAAATAACCGAGCAAAAAATACCTTTGGATTCCTCAACACTCGAGGTTGGTTGGGTAATCTTTCTTTAAATCGCTATTCCTTCCCAACAAAATAAAATCCTATGTGGTTTTTTTTTTTTGAGACGGAGCTGGCTCTGTCGCCCAGGCTGGAGTGCAGTGGCACGATCTCGACTCACTGCAAGCTCCGCCTCCCGGGTTCACGCCATTCTCTTGCCTCAGCCTCCCGAGTAGCTGGGACTACAGGTGCCCGCCACCGCGCCCGGCTAGGTTTTTTTTTGTTTTTTTGTTTTGTAGTTTTAGTAGAGACGGGGTTTCACCGCGTTAGCCAGGATGGTCTCGATCTCCTGACCTCGTGATCCGCCCGTCTCAGCCTCCCAAAGTGCTGGGATTACAGGTGTGAGCCACCATGCCCAGCCATAAAATCCTATTTTTATCTACAATGCCTGCTTTAGGTTAATCCCCATCTAACTTGTGGCCTGAGGGCTAAATAAGGCAAACAGATTTTTATTTTTCTTTTTTTGGTTCAGAACAAGATTTTAAAAACACAATGTTTTAAGGCAGGGTATGCATTTTCCAATGGTCACAGTTGCTGCCAGCCTCTGCCACATTGTACAGAGAGTATGAGAAGCACTGCAGTGATTGCTGGTGTGGTGTGAGGCCAGACTTCATGGGTCTGAGTTCAGAAAGCTCCCTCTTACTAGCTGTGCACCTTGACCTCTCTGTACTCCAGCTTCATCTATAAAATGGGCATCATCATTGTCATTATCATCATCATCGTCATGGTACTTGTCTCACAGGTTTTTTGGGAGGATTAATGTCCAGGTGGTTAGGGTATACAGTGAATATTTATTTGGACACCTGCTATAAGCCAGGCCATATTAGGGACAGGGGATACATGAGGGAACAAAACAGACAAATCTCTACCCTTATGACACCTATAGCCTTGTGGAGGCATGGGAGAGACACATTATTTAGTAAGCACTGTGATCAATGCTACGGAAAAAGATGAAGCAGGAAAGCAAGGGGACAGTGCTTGGGTGCAGTTAAAATAGGGCGGTCAGGGAGGCCTCACTGAAAAGATGACCCTCCAGAAAAGACTGGAGGGAGGTGAAGAGTGAGCCACCTGGAGAACCCAGGGAGGAAGAGTGTTGAGCTAGATGGAACAGCAGCCATAGAAGTTTTGAGACAGCCCATCACGTTTGAGAAAATGTCAACTATTTTTATTGTGACCTGCTAGATCCCTAAGGGCACTTGAGTTTATGACAGTGCTATCAACTTTGGTTGAAAGTGGCTGTGGAAACTGATCCTGTGACTCTGGTCTTGATTGCCTAAAGGCTGAGGGCGTAGAGAGAGAGAGCACGAGCAGTGCAAGAGAGACAGTTGCAGTGCAAGAGAGACAGTCGAGAGTCGAGCATCTCCTCTTCTTAAAGTCGCAGAGACCATGGCCCCCAGCCTGCGCTCATCTGATACCATCTATAACTGTTAGTGCGTGCGTGTGTGTCTGCTTGAAGGCAGTCTTGTCCTGGCCTGTGCGGGCTGGAAAAGAGTAAAGAATAGTGATGGAGAGGGGTGGGGTTGAAATAAATCAAAGCCATCAGGAGGCTTTGCTTTAGGGCCCCATGTTTCTAGTGGTGCTGATGATTCCAGGCCAGCAGTTGGTAGCTTTAAAGGGAGTTTTGTTTCCAGGTCACTAGAAACAGTCAGTCAGTTTAACTGCAAGGCCAGCTCCTAATTTGATGCACATCTAAGCAGATTGGAGACATTTTTGCCAGAGTTGCTATTTTAGCAGGCAACAATTTGTGTGCCCACCAGGAAACCAGGTTTGGTATGAAAATAGGGACTTCCCCTGGCTTCTAACATTCAGGAGTCAGCAGTAGCTGGCCTTCTAATCGTGCTGCTTCGTGTGTGGAAAACAAGGCTGAAAAATGGGTGGGGAGAGAACGGTGGCTGCCAAGGACATGTGCTATTTACAGACATGAGGAAGAATAACATTCTGGTTGAGCTCTCAAGTAAAATGAGGATAACAACACCTGCCTCACGTGGTTATGGTCAGGATTACATGGGATGGCCTACATAGAAGTGCCAGGCACATCACAGGTGCAGGGAAATATCAGTTCCTTTCTTCATCTGCTCTGGACCCCACAAGACAGCTCGCTGGAGACTGATCTCCTCCCTCCCACTAAATCAGGAGAGAGAAGAGCGTTTCCTCCCTGTGAGAGGTAAGCCCTCGGGGGTAAAGTATGGAGAGAAGAAATCCAGCAGGAGGCAACAGCAGGGTATGTGGGGTCCTTAGATAGGCAGGGCCAGGCAGCTGGATCCCATCCTGAGAATGAAACTGTCGTGGGATCTGCAGGTGGGCACAGCACCCCAGAGAGCAGAGGGGTGCTCTCTGCCCACTGCTTGTTGGCCCCGCCAAGTGCAGGCAGCACAGTGAAACCAGACACAGCACAGTCTCAAGTATGCAACTGCCAGGTACGACAATCACAAGTCACAGCTGGTAGGTGGATTGGTGTGATGGCTACTCATGTTTTCTGATCTCTCAATGTTGTTCTTGTTTTCAAAAAGTAACCCAGCACACTTAAGGTTCACACAACCTGTGTAACTTTGCAAATACCAAGACCTCACCTCAATAAGCAAAACAAGGAATTTATTCCTCTAAGAATCCTAAGACATGTAGAACAACCAAGTCTCGAGGATGTGGCTAGAACAAGAGACTCAAATGCCACCTATTATTTTGTTCTGTTTATCTCTGCCTGTCCCTTCATCACTGCAATCCTGCTTTCTGGAACATGACTGGCCATAGCTTCCCCTATGAGAGGGAGTCTGACCTTGATTTCCTCAAGGCCCAGTTAAAAATTCCTGGGGAAGAAGCTCATTGGTTCAGCATGAGTCAGAGACCATCCCTGGGTCAGTTAGCTGAGGCCAGTGGGGTGGGGACATGCAAGAATCAGGACACTCTTGCCTTACTACGGGGCTGAGAGCAGGCTGGGTAGACAGTTCTATGGACGTCCACAGCTTATATTTAACCTGGACATCAGATGTTTTACAAGTGTTATTAGCCACCTGGGGGCTGATGTCACTGTCACTTCTTCAGCAGGGGACAACCCACATCTTTAGATGGTTGGAAAAAGGTCCTGGGCTAGGAGGCTTGCCCAGTGAGAAAGGAGGTGTGGGACCCCGGTGCACAGGCAGCCTCCCCTTCAGCTGTCTTTTTACTCCTGTCCCTCCCCGTGTCCCACTCACACACCCCACGCTGTTGTGCCAGGTGTCTCTGTGGGTCGTCCTTGCAGAGTGAGCAGTGGAGCATGGGTGTGTGCTCTCATTTCAGATGCTTTGGCTGGCAGAATTATTTCCCTGCTATTCCATTCCCATGCCACCCTTCCTCCTCTACCAGTAGGTCCTTCCTTGTGGAAAAATAGCTCTTCCAGTAGTAGAAACTGATCCTGGCTCTAAGGGCAAAAGAGGCAGAAGGGAGTTTTACTAGAATGACTCTGGGGTATCTCACAACCCAAGGGGGCTGTGGGAAGGTCAGAGCAGGGCAGCTCTAGGACCTCTATGGTGGGAGTTCACGGACTCTATGGTGCTATTGATTACATGACTCAGCTCCCACTGAGTCAGGCCCATTGCTGCTCAGAGCCACCCTCCACCTTCCTGGGGAGGGAGTCGAGGGGCCCCAGTTTGGTCAGTTATGTGCCCTGGATCAGCCAGCTAGTGAGATGTTTGGCATATTAGATACCTGAAGTGAATAATTTTGTAACACCTCTCCAACAAAGTTATTTTCATTGGTAATCATGAAATATAGTTAATGTCTGCATCAGTATAATTGATGATGATGCCAGAAAAGAAATGCAAACAGTGAAAAAACAATTTATTAAACTGTGTATATACAGTCATACTAATAAAATATAAACAAACAATATGATACAAAATAATTATTACAGTATAATAAAGGGCAAAATAATGAAATAATACTTTTATTACATTAATTTTTTTGGAGAAAAGAAAAATTTAGACTTGCAGATTGGTCTGTCACAGCAATGAATGATAAAAATATATCACAATTTTCATTTTCAGGTTGTAACTTTTGCAAACTTGTAAATAATTTTATCAAAATTAATCTTTGCATATTTATCCTCAATAGTCAGTATAATCAGGTATGTCACTCTATCTTTGTTCATACTTCTTATTAATTTTAATTTAAAAATTCATCTGAAGAAACATATAAATAAATAGAAAAAGTTTTAAACAGAAAGATAAGTTTAGCAGAGACTCACAAAATCTCATTTCACAAGAAGTTCTAGAAATTACAATGCCATCCATGTTTTCATGTCTTAGGGAATGAGTCTAGTAGCTTTCAAATGCTGACACAGTTGAAACATTTCTAAAAAAATTAGAAAATTCATCATTTAAAAAATTGTAATATCTCTTTTATGTGTATCAAAACTCTTATTAAACAATGAGATCTGGGTTGCAAAAGAGGATTTATTTTTTGCACCTGTCTATAAGTGCTTGTTCACAAGTTAAACAGAAACACAAGTGCAGTCATATTTTTTATTATTTTTAGTTAAAACTTCCAAAAATTTTGTCCTACAAAAATTAGAGTTACAAACAACTTCACAGCAACCTCTCCCCCTACCAAATAATTCCATTAAAAATGGGCAACAGACCCAAGTAGACATTTCTCAAAAGAAGACATACAAATGGTCAACAGGTATTTGAAAAAATGTTCAACATCACTAATCATCAGGGAAATCCAAATCAAAACCACAATGAGACACCATCTCGCCTCAGAATGGCTATTGTAAAAAAAAGACAAAAAACAACAAATACGGATGAGGATACAGAGAAAAGGGAACTCTTATACACTGTGGGTAGAAATGTAAATTAGTAAAGCCACTATGGAAAATGGTATGGAGTTTTCTCAAAAAACTAAAAATAGTACTACCATACGATCTAGCATTCCTGCTGCTGGGTGTTTATCCAAAAGAAAGTATATTAAAAGGATACCAGCACCCCATGTGTATTCTAGTACTATTTGCAAAAGCCAAGATATGGAATCAACCTAGGTGTTTATTGATTAATGAAGGGGTAAAAGAAAATGTGGTATAGATACACCGTGAAATGCTATTCAGCCATAAAAAGGAATGAAATCCTGTCATTTGCAGCTACGTGGATGGAACGGGAGGTCAACATACTAAGTGAAATAAGTCAGGCACAGAAAGACAAATATTTCATGTTCTCACTCATCTGTGGAAGCTAAAAAAGTTGATCTCATGGAGATAGAGAGTAGAATGACGGTTACCAGAAGTTGGGAAGGGATGTTCAGGGGGAACGAAGAAAGGTTGGTTAATGAGTACAAACATATAGTTAGATAGAAGGAATAAGTTCTAGTGTTCAATAGTTCTGTAGGGTAACTATAGTTAATACTAATTTATTGTATATTTTAAAGTAGCTAGAAGATGTGAAATAGTCCCAACATAAAGAAATGATACATTTTTGAGGTAATGAATATCTTAAATACCCTAATTTGATCATTACATATTGTATGCATGTATCAAAATATCACATGCATGCAATAAATATGTACAGTTATGTTTCAATAAAAATATCAGCATTCATGTCTGAATATTAGCAAATACTAACATTATTCTGCCCATTGCTTTAGATCAGGTGCCCAGTTCTTGGTGATAATGACCAAGACATTTATACATTGCTCTTTTGATTTTTGCTGGCAGCATAAGACCAGCATCTTTTGTCATTTCTCCTGGCATTCACAGAATGATGGAATTAAAGCAACTCAAAATCTGTTTCTTCATTTCTGTAATCACTGTAATATTATTGCTTATTTTCAATCTACTGTTTAGATGCAGGAGTATGTGGCACCATGGGGTTGGGCATGTGAAGTAAGCTCGAATGATTTTCAAACTGTCAGGAACTTATTCAAAACAAACATGTGTGGCTGAGTTTGTGTGTATTGGGGCATGACTGTATAACTGGGAGTTTGAATTAACTTCTAAGTAGAATGCAAGCTATAAAGGATAAGTAATAAAAAAAAGTGCTAATTTGAAGCTTACATGCATATTATTAAAACTCAGTAGTAACAAAACAATGGTTTAGAACTTAGACTCACAAAAGCTTTTTTTTAGGAAGCAGTACTGTATCACTGACATTGTTTGGAATCACCGGCACATGGTGATAATGAAAAGCAGACTGACTTCTAGTTGGCTTTATTATTGCTTTTAAATTCTCTACAGATTTTTTTATTGCCTTCCCCCAGGCACACTGCTTCCCTTGCCCAACCTTTGGTACACCACTGCATCCAGTTATTGTGGTGGTGGGAGCAGAAGGTGGGAGGTATCGGGATGCCACATAATACAGACAAAGGCTTCATGGGCTCATTCTGAGTTTCAGGGGCTGTACTCAGAGAAGAGGGCATCAGGCACCAGCTCCATGTGGTGACTATTACATTTTCCTTTTTAGCTGCTTAGCATTAAACACACACACAACACACACACACACACAAAATACACTTCATCCCATATGTCCCAAGATGCTCCTATTCAACATGACCTGATAGCCACAAATGCAATGAGCTGCAATGCAAAGTAACACCAACTACTGAATCCAAGGTTACACCACAGAGCTATTTTTTTCTAATCTAGATACCTGGGTAATCTTCATTCCTTTTTTAGTTATATTGAAATCCCATCTGATATTCATCAGGAGATGGATTACTTAGTAAATGAAACCACTAATAACACACCTATCCTCAAAATCTATGCCAACACAATATCCCCAGTCTTAATGATATTCCTTAGCTAGTCTCTGTGTATAACTTCTTTCTTCTCTGCATTGATTCTGCATAACCTCATCCAGTCCATGAAGAGTTCAAATGCTGGTCATACAGTGGGCATTGCTGAGCAGTGGAGCCCAGTGGGCTGGATTGTTAGTTTCTTCTGGTCGGTGGGAATGGGGGTGCAATGTGGGAACATTTCAGAGAAGCTAGAAGGCTTAGTTTCCCCAGTTCCTCTGACTCCTCCCATATATCTCAGTTTCCATCGCTAGGATTTTACTCTTTCCTGATCATGCTGTATCTACATATGAAACCTAGTTTATATCTGCAAGTGGAAGTATAATTCAATACCTTAAAACATCAATTTCTAAATTTGATTTTTTGTTATTTCAGGTTAGTAGCTAGTGGGATCATATGACGACTTTGACTTTGATTTTACACCTATAGGAGAGACTTATAGGACTAAATGTGCTGTTCTCTTACATTAGGTTATCCTGATACACTCAAACCAACCATCTAACCTGTGGTATCGGCTTGTCTCATTTCTTTCAAATTGCTTATGGTGCCAGCTACTGGGTCCTCCAATACTTTCTTCCCAGTATCTAGTTGACCACAAGAAATTCATTTATTGCTGTTTTGCTACTTTTTAGCAAGCACTGCTAATTTCATATCTCCAAATACAGGGTAGAGCCTTGCTGCCTTCCTTCACTCCCACCGCAATAAAATGAACCATTACATTTTTCTTGAAAGTCTAGAATTCACAGCATACTCTCTAGAAACAATTCATAAATTATTTATTTTTCTTCTTATTTGAAAACATTAGATACTGACTCTAATTGGTTTTGGCAAAAAAATCATGAGGGGAGGACGTTTATTGAAAAAAAAAAATAGGCTAGGCACAGTGGCTTACACCTGTAATCCCAGCACTTTGAGATGCCAAGGCAGGAGGATCAATTGAGGCCAGGAGTTTGGGACCAGCCTGGGTAACATAGCAAGACCCTGTCTCTACAAGAATAAAAATTAAAAAGTTATCCAAGCTTGGTGGTGTGCACCTGTAGTTCCAGCTATATGCTACTTGGGAGGCTGAGGCAGGAGTATCACTTGAGCCCAGGAGTTTGAGGTTATAGTGAGCTGTGATTACACCATTGCACTCCACCCTGTGTGACAGAGCAAGATGCTATCTCTAAAAAAAAGGAATACTAGGGCATCTATAGAGGGCAAATTATTGAATAAGCAACCTGTAGGAAGGATAGAAACCAGGGCCATGCTAAAGGCCTTAGTAGTGGGAATTTGTGACCCTTCTATCTGGAACCCTGCTATAAATTTGAATCAGCCTCAATGAAAATCAGGTTTAGTATTTCTTAGTATAGAATTTGAAGTTGGCCCAGTTTAGAACTGTCGTCTGACTACGGACAGGACAGGATTATACAGTAGAGAAAGGGTCTGCTGGGGGATGGAGGTAGTGGTGCAGCCTGTGTATCAGAGGTTGTACCAAGAGAAGGGGCAGTTCTTGTGAGACAGGCAACTTCCCTAACAAGTATCCACTTCAGTTTGGGGGATGAAGGTTATTTCCTCTGCTTCCTTCATTACCTTTTGTCCTGCAATGTTTACCACTGTCTGTACTCACTAGGACTCACTAGATAGTGTTGACTGACTGATTAAAACATTCATGATCTAAAAATAGGAGATTATTAGACTAGGTTCAAGACCAACATGGCTTTTGCATAGGAAGATACTGGTGATTTGGTAAGGGAGAAAAGAAAACAAGGTGTTGATTCTAAAATCCAGAAGTGATAATTTAAAAAAATTATCAATTTGTGTGACTCTGAGACTTTTCCTGGCATCCTTAGCTCCCAAAAAGCCCTCTGCTCTCTGAACTTCCACTCTTCTCACCCATATTGCCCATTTGACTCTGAGCATGGTTATCTGCCGTGCCCTGTACATCGCTACATAGAAGTTCCATCTCCCAACCACACTACAAGATCCCCAAGAACAGAATCCATGTCTTAACTTTTATTTTTTTGAGATTCTCCATATATTTTAGTATCAGTTAGAGCAAGTTTTGTATTCCCTGGCCTCTTGATTCTCCATTTGTACATGTTGATTTTCACAGGTGAGTTTCAGACTCTCTTTATCATATTAGAATATTCTTACAGTTTTTGTATCTCCAGTACCAAGTTGTTATCCCCTCATACAATAAACAGGTAATTAATGTACTTTGCTGAGGACAATATGATAAGCCATGCAGAGGGGTGTGTCATTGGCATAAATGGGAGAATTAAGTTTTTCTATTCATACCTGTTTAATTTAAAAAATGTTAACTTGGCATAGCAATGACTGTGTAAAATTGGTATTCCATTTAGTACAAGATTTAAATCATTACACAGGTAAAATTTGTTCTTTTTTTTATTCACCATTAATAAAAATCAATTTCTGGTTTCCTCCCTCCCTCCCTCCCTTCCTTTCCTTCCTTCCTTCCTTCCTTCCTTCCTTCCTTCCTTCCTTCCTTCCTTCCTTCCTTCCTTCCTTCCTTCCTTCCTTCCTTCCTTTCTCCCTCCTTCCTTCTTTCCTTCCCCTCTCCCTCCCTTCCTTCTTTCCTTCCCTTCTCTTTCTCTTCTTTCTTTCTTTCTTTCTTTCTTTCTTTCTTTCTTTCTTTCTTTCTTTCTTTCTTTCTTTCTTTCTTTCTTTCTTTCTCTTTCTTTCTTCTTTTTCTTTCTTTCTTTCCTTTCTCTTTCTTCCTTTTCTTTT